AGTGTGTGTGTAGTGTAGTGTGTGGTGTAGTGTGGTGTGTAGTGTGTGGTGGTGTGTGGTGTTGTGGTGTGGTGTGTAGTGGTGTGGTGTAGTGTGTGTAGTGTATAGTGTAGTGTGTGGTGGTGTGTGGTGTGGTGGGGTGTAGTGTAGTGTGTAGTGTATAGTAGTGTATAGTGTAGTGTGTGTGTGGTGTAGTGTGTGGTGTAGTGTGTGTGTGGTGTAGTGTGTGTAGTGTGTGGTGTGTAGTGTAGTGTGTGGTGTGGTGTGTAGTGGTGTGTGTAGTGTGTGGTGTGTGTAGTGGTGTGTGTAGTGTGTGGTGTGTGGTGTGTGTGGTGTGTGTGTGTAGTGTGTGGTGTGTGGTGTGTAGTGTGTGGTGTGTGTAGTGTGTGGTGTGTGGTGTGTAGTGTGTGGTGTGTGTAGTGTGTGGTGTGTGGTGTGTAGTGTGTGGTGTGTGTAGTGTGTGGTGTGTGGTGTGTAGTGTGTGGTGTGTGTGTGTGTAGTGCGTGGTGTGTAGTGTGTGGTGTGTGTGTGTGGTGTGTAGTGTGTGGTGTGTAGTGTGTGGTGTGTGGTGTGTGGTGTGTAGTGTGTGGTGTGTGTAGTGTATAGTAGTGTAGTGTGGTGTGTGTGGTGTGTGTGGTGTGTGGTGTGTGGTGTGTAGTGTGTGGTGTGGTGTATAGTGTAATGTAGTGTATAGTGTAGTGTATATTGTTGTGTAGTGTATAGTGTAGTGTCCAGTGTAGTATATAGTGCAGTGTATAGTGTAGTGTATAGTAGTGTATAGTGCAGTGTATAGTGTAGTGTATAGTAGTGTAGTGTATAGTGTAGTGTATAGTTTAGTGTCTAGTGTAGTGTGTAGTATAGTGTATAGTGTAGTGTATAGTGTAGTTTTTAAGTTGAATTTCTTTCTCACCGTACATAGACCGAAGATACAATGAACTAATGAGAAAATTTGTTTTGGTAAATACTTTATATATATTATTACACCACCACCACCACCACCATCACCACCACCACCAAAATCATTACGGTTACAATCGCCATCAGTACCACCATCACCACCACCACCACCACCATCATCACCATCATCACCACCACCACCATCATCACCATCATCACCACCACCACCATCACCACCACCACCATCACCACCACCACCATCACCACCACCACCACCATCATCACCACCACCACCATCATCACCACCATCATCACCACCATCATCTTAGTTTATAAATAGAAGTTTAACAGGCGGATGCATTAAGCGAAAGCAGTGAGAAGGTTACTAATGGCGGTCTAGGCTGCCTCCTGCACCTAGCCTGGCACCCACAAACCCACTCACTTGGTGAGTGGGTGGGTGGGTGAGTGAGTGAGTGGTGAGTGAGTGGGTGAGTGGGTGGGTGAGTGAGTGGGTGAGTGAGTGAGTGAGTAAGTGGTGAGTGGGTGAGTGAGTGAGTGGTGAGTGAGTGAGTGGGTGAGTGGGTGAGTGAGTGAGTGGGTGAGTGGGTGGGTGAGTGAGTGAGTGGGTGAGTGGGTGAGTGAGTGAGTGGGTGAGTGGGTGGGTGAGTGAGTGGGTGAGTGAGTGGGTGAGTGGGTGAGTGAGTGAGTGGGTGAGTGGGTGGGTGAGTGAGTGGGTGGGTGAGTGAGTGGGTGAGTGGGTGAGTGAGTGGGTGAGTGAGTGGGTGGGTGAGTGAGTGGGTGAGTGAGTGGGTGAGTGAGTGGGTGAGTGAGTGGGTGAGTGGGTGAGTGGGTGAGTGAGTGGGTGAGTGGGTGAGTGGGTGAGTGGGTGAGTGAGTGAGTGGGTGAGTGAGTGAGTAAGTGGTGAGTGAGTGGGTGGGTGAGTGGGTGGGTGAGTGAGTGGGTGAGTGGTGAGTGAGTGGGTGGGTGAGTGAGTGAGTGAGTGGGTGAGTGAGTGGGTGAGTGGGCGGGTGAGTGGGTGAGTGGGTGAGTGAGTGGGTGGGTGAGTGGGTGAGTGAGTGGGTGGGTGGGTGAGTGAGTCAGTGAGTGGGTGGGTGAGTGAGTCAGTGAGTGGGTGAGTGGGTGAGTGAGTGGGTGGGTGAGTGAGTGAGTGGGTGAGTGAGTGAGTGAGTGGGTGAGTGGGTGAGTGGGTGAGTGAGTGAGTGGCTGAGTGGGTGAGTGAGTGAGTGGGTGAGTGGTGAGTGAGTGAGTGGGTGAGTGTCTGAGTCAGTGGCTGAACCCCCTATCACCACCACCACCATCACCACCACCACCACCACCACCACGTGATGCTCGCCGAGGTCACGTGGGTGTCTGTGACGTCACAACGTCCACGTGCAAGCGTATATTGACGTTAAATCGAACCCAGCAAAGCAAAAAAATAAAAAATTCAATGAATCGCCATCCCTGGAGATCGAAACATTCGAATTTTGTCATCTTCGGCAGACGGAGAACGGATGTTTGCCCGGAAAATTCTGTGACACAACATCAACAACAACATCAACAACATCATCAACAACAACAACATCAACAACAACATTGTTGTTGTCAAATGGCTATAGCTGTAGCGTTTGATGAGTGAGTAGGTGAGTGAGTGGGTGAGTGGGTGAGTGAGTGGGTGAGTGAGTGGGTGAGTGAGTGGTGAGTGGGTGGGTGAGTGAGTGGTGAGTGGGTGAGTGAGTGGGTGAGTGAGTGAGTGGGTGAGTGAGTGGGTGAGTGAGTGGTTGAGTGGGTATGTGAGTGAGTGGGTGGGTGAGTGAGTGAGTGGGTGAGTGAGTAGGTGAGTGAGTGAGTAGTTGAGTGAGTGAGTGGGTGAGGGAGTGGGTGGGTGAGTGAGTGGGTGAGTGAGTGGGTTAGTGGGTGAGTGGGTGAGTGAGTGAGTGGGTGGGTGAGTGGGTGAGTGAGTGGGTGAGTGAGTAGGTGAGTGAGTGACTAAGTGAGTGACTAAGTGAGTGAGTGGGTGAGTGAGTGAGTGAGTGGGTGAGTGAGTGGGTGGGTGAGTGGGTGAGTGAGTGAGTGGTGAGTTAGTGAGTGAGTGAGTGGGTGAGTGAGTGGGTGAGTGAGTAGGTGAGTGAGTGACTAAGTGAGTGACTAAGTGAGTGAGTGGGTGAGTGAGTGAGTGAGTGGGTGAGTGGGTGGGTGAGTGGGTGAGTGAGTGGGTGAGTGAGTAGGTGAGTGACTGAGTGAGTGAGTGGGTGAGTGAGTGAGTGGGTGAGTGAGTAGGTGGGTGAGTGAGTGAGTGGGTGAGTGAGTGGTGAGTGAGTGAGTGGTGAGTGGGTGGGTGAGTGAGTGAGTGGGTGAGTGGGTGGGTGAGTGGGTGAGTGAGTGAGTGGGTGAGTGAGTGAGTGAGTGGGTGGGTGAGTGGGTGGGTGGGTGGGTGAGTGAGTGAGTGGGTGAGTGAGTGAGTGGGTGGGTGAGTGGGTGGGTGGGTGGGTGAGTGGGTGAGTGAGTGGGTGAGTGGGTGAGTGGGTGGGTGAGTGGGTGAGTGGGTAAGTGAGTGGGTGGGTGAGTGAGTGAGTGGGTGAGTGAGTGAGTGGGTGAGTGAGTGAGTGGGTGAGTGGGTGGGTGGGTGAGTGGGTGAGTGAGTGAGTGAGTGGGTGGGTGGGTGAGTGGGTGGTGAGTGAGTGGGTGAGTGAGTGAGTGAGTGGGTGAGTGAGTGGGTGAGTGAGTGGGTGAGTGAGTGGGTGAGTGGGTGAGTGAGTGGGTGAGTGAGTGAGTGGGTGAGTGAGTGGGTGAGTGAGTGGGTGAGTGAGTGGGTGAGTGAGTAGGTGAGTGAGTGAGTGAGTGGGTGAGTGAGTGAGTGGGTGGGTGAGTGGGTGAGTGAGTGGGTGAGTGAGTGGGTAAGTGAGTGGGTGGGTGAGTGATTGAGTGAGTGGGTGAGTGAGTGATTGAGTGAGTGGGTGAGTGGGTGAGTGAGTGAGTGGGTGAGTGAGTGGGTGAGTGGGTGGGTGGTTGAGTGAGTGGGTGAGTGGGTGAGTGGGTGAGTGAGTGGGTGAGTGAGTGAGTGATTGAGTGATTGAGTGAGTGAGTGGGGAGTGGGTAAGTGAGTGATTGAGTGTCTCCCTCTCACCTATCGTCGCCCGCATCCACCACGGCCTCCACCACCATGACCTCCACCTCCGTGACCTCCGTGACCTCCGTGACCTCCACCTCCGTGACCTCCGTGACCTCCGTGACCTCCACGGCCATCGCCTCCAGGGTGACAACCTCCACCACCACCTCCGCCGTGGTGACCTCCACCGTGGTGACCTCCCTCGTGACCACCACCACCACCACCACCACCTCCACCGTGGCAACCTCCACCACCGGGACCTCCGCCGTGGTGCCCATGACCTCCGATCTGAGCTCCTCCGCCGTGACAACCTCCTCCTCCACCTCCACCACCGGGACCTCCGCCGTGGGGACCTCCGCCGTGGTGACCTCCGCCGTGGCAACCTCCACCGCCGTGGTGACCTCCGCCGTGGGGACCTCCGCCGCGGGGACCTCCGCCGTGGGGACCTCCGCCGTGGCAACCTCCACCACCGGGGCCTCCGCCGTGGTGACCTCCGCCGTGGTGACCTCCGCCGTGGGGACCTCCCTCGTGACCTTTCCGCTCTCCGCACGGGCTGTGACCTCTGCGGTGACCTCTTGGGTGACCCCCCTCACCACCACCACCACAACCACCACCACCACCACCACCACCCTCCTCCTCTGCAGCACCACCATCTCCCTCGCTCTGCCAACCACCACCACCACCACCAACCACAACACCACCACCACCACCTCCACCACCACCACAACCAACCACAACTCCACCACCAACTCCACCACCACCACCACCACCACCACCAACCACAACTCCACCACCAACTCCACCACCACCACCACCACCACCTCCACCACCTCCAACCACAACTCCACCACCACCAACTCCACCACCACCAACTCCACCACCACCAACTCCACCACCACCACCTCCACCACCTCCAACCACAACTCCACCACCACCAACTCCACCACCACCAACTCCACCACCAACTCCACCACCACCAACCACAACTCCACCACCGCTAAGCCCACAACCACCACCACCACCACCATCACCGACAACGCTGGTGGTGGTGGTGGTGGTGAATCCGGTGATGTCGGTGAAGCCTCCCTCCACCTGAATCACTCCACCAGCACCACCCAAGGCAAAGGGCCCACAGGGAGCCTTGTCTAGGGTGGGGGGTGGTGGTGGGGGGGTGGTGGTGGGGGGGTGGTGGTGGGGGGGTGGTGGTGGGTGGGGGGGTTGGGGGTGAGAAGGGGGTGAGTGTGAGTCTATGGGTCTCTGTGTGAGTCTATGGGTCTCTGTGTGAGTCTATGGGTCTCTGTGTGAGTCTATGGGTCTCTGTGTTGGTGGTGAGTCTATGGGTCTCTGTGTGGTGGTGAGTCTATGGGTCTCTGTGTGAGTCTATGGGTCTCTGTGTGATGGTGGTGAGTCTATGGGTCTCTGTGTGGTGGTGAGTCTATGGGTCTCTGTGTGGTGGTGATTCTATGGGTCTCTGTGTGAGTCTATGGGTCTCTGTGTGAGTCTATGGGTCTCTGTGTGAGTCTATGGGTCTCTGTGTTGGTGGTGAGTCTATGGGTCTCTGTGTGGTGGTGAGTCTATGGGTCTCTGTGTGAGTCTATGGGTCTCTGTGTGATGGTGGTGAGTCTATGGGTCTCTGTGTGGTGGTGAGTCTATGGGTCTCTGTGTGGTGGTGATTCTATGGGTCTCTGTGTGAGTCTATGGGTCTCTGTGTGAGTCTATGGGTCTCTGTGTGAGTCTGTGGGTATCTGTGTGGTGGTGGTGAGTCTATGGGTCTCTGTGTGAGTCATTGGGTGTCTGTGTGGTGGTGAGTCTATGGGTCTCTGTGTGAGTCTATGGGTGTCTGTGTGGTGGTGAGTCTATGGGTCTCAGTGTGAGTCTATGGGTCTCTGTGTGGTGGTGAGTCTATGGGTCATTGTGTGGTGGTGAGTCTATGGGTCTCTGTGTGGTGGTGAGTCTATGGGTATCTGTGTGAGTCTGTGGGTCTCTGTGTGAGTCTGTGGGTCTCTGTGTGAGTCTATTTTGGCTCTGTGTGGTTGTGAGTCTATGGGTCTCTGTGTGAGTCTATGGGTCTCTGTGTGGTGGTGAGTCTATGGGTCTCTGTGTGGTGGTGAGTCTATGGGTCTCTGTGTGAGTCTATGGGTCTCTGTGTGAGTCTATGGGTCTCTGTGTGAGTCTGTGGGTCTCTGTGTGATGGTGGTGAGTCTATGGGTATCTGTGTGAGTCTATGGGTATCTGTGTGAGTCTATGGGTCTCTGTGTGAGTCTGTGGGTCTCTGTGTGAGTCTATGGGTCTATGTGTGAGTCTGTGGGTTTCTGTGTGAGTCTATGGGTCTCTGTGTGAGACTATGGGTCTCTGTGTGGTGGTGAGTCTATGGGTCTCTGTGTGGTGGTGAGTCTATGGGTGTCTGTGTGAGTCTATGTGTCTCTGTGCGAGTCTATGGGTCTCTGTGTGAGTCTGTGGGTATCTGTGTGAGTCTATGGGTCTCTGTGTGAGTCTGTGGGTCTCTGTGTGTTGGTGAGTCTATGGGTCTCAGTGTGAGTCTATGGGTCTCTGTGTGGTGGTGAGTCTATGGGTCTCTGTGTGGTGGTGAGTCTATGGGTGTCTGTGTGAGTCTATGTGTCTCTGTGCGAGTCTATGGGTCTCTGTGTGAGTCTGTGGGTATCTGTGTGAGTCTATGGGTCTCTGTGTGAGTCTGTGGGTCTCTGTGTAGTGGTGGTGAGTCTATGGGTCTCTGTGTGGTGGTGAGTCTATGGGTCTCTGTGTGGTGGTGAGTCTATGGGTCTCTGTGTGATGGTGGTGAGCCTATCGGTCTCTGTGTGGTGGTGAGTCTATGGGTCTCTGTGTGAGTCTATGGGTCTCTGTGTGGTGGTGAGTCTATGGGTCTCAGTGTGAGTCTATGGGTCTCTGTGTGGTGTTGAGTCTATGGGTCTCTGTGTGGTGGTGAGTCTATGGGTCTCTGTGTGGTGGTGAGTCTATGGGTATCTGTGTGAGTCTGTGGGTCTCTGTGTGAGTCTGTGGGTCTTTGTGTGAGTCTGTGGGTCTCTGTGTGAGTCTGTGGGTCTCTGTGTGAGTCTGTGGGTCTCTGTGTGAGTCTGTGGGTCTCTGTGTGAGTCTATGGGTCTCTGTGTGAGTCTGTGGGTCTCTGAGTGAGTCTATGGGTCTCTGTGTGAGTCTATGGGTATCTGTGTGAGTCTATGGGTCTCTGTGTGAGTCTATGGGTATCTGTGTGAGTCTGTGGGTCTCTGTGTGAGTCTGTGGGTCTCTGTGTGAGTCTGTGGGTCTCTGTGTGAGTCTATGGGCCTCCGTGTGAGTCTATGGGTCTCTGTGTGAGTCTGTGGGTCTCTGTGTGGTGGTGAGTCCTATGGGTCTCTGTGTGAGTCTGTGGGTCTCTGTGTGAGTCTATGGGTCTCTGTGTGAGTCTATGGGTCTCTGTGTGAGTCTGTGGGTCTCTGTGTGAGTCTGTGGGTCTCTGTGTGAGTCTATGGGTCTCTGTGTGAGTCTATGGGTCTCTGTGTGAGTCTGTGGGTCTCTGTGTGGTGGTGAGTCTATGGGTGTCTGTGTGAGTCTATAGGTCTCTGTGTGAGTCTATGGGTCTCTGTGTGAGTCTATGGGTATCTGTGTGAGTCTATGGGTCTCTGTGTGAGTCTATGGGTCTCTGTGTGAGTCTATGGGTCTCTGTGTGAGTCTGTGGGTCTCTGTGTGGTGGTGAGTCCTATGGGTCTCTGTGTGAGTCTGTGGGTCTCTGTGTGAGTCTATGGGTCTCTGTGTGAGTCTATGGGTCTCTGTGTGAGTCTGTGGGTCTCTGTGTGAGTCTGTGGGTCTCTGTGTGAGTCTGTGGGTCTCTGTGTGAGTCTATGGGTCTCTGTGTGAGTCTGTGGGTCTCTGTGTGAGTCTATGGGTATCTGTGTGAGTCTATGGGTATCTGTGTGAGTCTATGGGTCTCTGTGTGGTGGTGAGTCTATGTGTCTCTGTGTGAGTCTATGGGTATCTGTGTGAGTCTATGGGTCTCTGTGTGAGTCTATGGGTCTCTGTGTGAGTCTATGGGTCTCTGTGTGAGTCTATGGGTATCTGTGTGAGTCTGTGGGTCTCTGTGTGAGTCTGTGGGTCTCTGTGTGAGTCTGTGGGTCTCTGTGTGAGTCTATGGGTCTCTATGTGAGTCTGTGGGTATCTGTGTGGTGGTGAGTCTATGGGTCTCTGTGTGAGTCTGTGGGTCTCTGTGTGAGTCTATGGGTCTCTATGTGAGTCTGTGGGTCTCTGTGTGTGAGTCTATGGGTCTCTGTGTGTGAGTCTGTGGGTATCTGTGTGAGTCTGTGGGTCTCTGTGTGTGAGTCTATGGGTCTCTGTGTGAGTCTATGGGTCTCTGTGTGAGTCTGTGGGTCTCTGTGTGAGTGTGTGGGTCTCTGTGTGCTGGTGAGTCTATGGGTGTCTGTGTGAGTCTATGGGTCTCTGTGTGAGTCTATGGGTCTCTGTGTGGTGGTGAGTCTATGGGTATCTGTGTGAGTCTATGGGTATCTGTGTGAGTCTATGGGTCTCTGTGTGAGTCTATGGGTATCTGTGTGAGTCTATGGGTATCTGTGTGAGTCTATGGGTATCTGTGTGAGTCTATGGGTTTCTGTGTGAGTCTATGGGTCTCTGTGTGAGTCTGTGGGTCTCTGTGTGAGTCTATGGGTTTCTGTGTGAGTCTATAGGTCTCTGTGTGAGTCTATGGGTATCTGTGTGAGTCTGTGGGTCTCTGTGTGAGTCTGTGGGTCTCTGTGTGAGTCTATGGATCTCTGTGTGAGTCTATGGGTCTCTGTGTGGTGGTGAGTCTATGGGTCTCTGTGTGTGAGTCTATGGGTCTCTGTGTGTGAGTCTGTGGGTATCTGTGTGAGTCTATGGGTCTCTATGTGAGTCTGTGGGTCTCTGTGTGGTGGTGAGTCTATGGGTCTCTGTGTGAGTCTGTGGGTCTCTGTGTGAGTCTATGGGTCTCTATGTGAGTCTGTGGGTCTCTGTGTGGTGGTGAGTCTATGGGCCTCTGTGTGTGAGTCTATGGGTCTCTCTGTGTGAGTCTGTGGGTATCTGTGTGAGTCTGTGGGTCTCTGTGTGTGAGTCTATGGGTCTCTGTGTGAGTCTATGGGTCTCTGTGTGAGTCTGTGGGTCTCTGTGTGAGTCTGTGGGTCTCTGTGTGGTGGTGAGTCTATGGGTGTCTGTGTGAGTCTATGGGTCTCTGTGTGAGTCTATGGGTCTCTGTGTGGTGGTGAGTCTATGGGTATCTGTGTGAGTCTATGGGTATCTGTGTGAGTCTATGGGTCTCTGTGTGAGTCTATGGGTATCTGTGTGAGTCTATGGGTATCTGTGTGAGTCTATGGGTCTCTGTGTGAGTCTATGGGGCTCTGTGAGTCTGTGGGTCTCTGTGTGGTGGTGAGTCTATCGGACTCTGTATGAGTCTATGGGTTTCTGTGTGTCTCTATGTGTCTCTGTGTGAGTCTATGGGTTTCTGTGTGGTGGTGAGTCTATGGGTCTCTGTGAGTCTGTGGGTCTCTGTGTGAGTCTATGGGTCTCTATGTGAGTCTGTGGGTCTCTGTGTGTGAGTCTATGGGTCTCTGTGTGTGAGTCTGTGGGTATCTGTGTGAGTCTGTGGGTCTCTGTGTGTGAGTCTATGGGTCTCTGTGTGAGTCTATGGGTCTCTGTGTGAGTCTGTGGGTCTCTGTGTGAGTGTGTGGGTCTCTGTGTGCTGGTGAGTCTATGGGTGTCTGTGTGAGTCTATGGGTCTCTGTGTGAGTCTATGGGTCTCTGTGTGGTGGTGAGTCTATGGGTATCTGTGTGAGTCTATGGGTATCTGTGTGAGTCTATGGGTCTCTGTGTGAGTCTATGGGTATCTGTGTGAGTCTATGGGTATCTGTGTGAGTCTATGGGTCTCTGTGTGAGTCTATGGGTATCTGTGTGAGTCTATGGGTTTCTGTGTGAGTCTATGGGTCTCTGTGTGAGTCTGTGGGTCTCTGTGTGAGTCTATGGGTTTCTGTGTGAGTCTATGGGTCTCTGTGTGAGTCTATGGGTATCTGTGTGAGTCTGTGGGTCTCTGTGTGAGTCTGTGGGTCTCTGTGTGAGTCTATGGGTCTCTGTGTGAGTCTATGGGTCTCTGTGTGGTGGTGAGTCTATGGGTCTC